AAAACTGGATGTCCATAAGCATGTGCAGTCCCCTCCCCTTTGCTTGGTGTGTTTGGAGCTGTGTTGCTCAGGGCATAAGTGTTGGTGGGCAGCATGTCGCCGGGTCTGATTTGTTTACCCAGTCTGACGGATTCTGCTTTGACCCTTAGACCACTGTTCAGGCTGAACTCTTGGGGACAGACATGTCCATCTGTCACCTCACTGTTGGTTTTCTCTTTCTACCATCTATTCTTTACCCCCTTTTTTCATATTTGTCTGACTTCTTGTGGGTTCATTGAATATCTGAATATTTTTGTGGCTCTTATCTCCTTTTTTACCAGCTGTAACTCTAACTCTGTGTTCATTTGGTTACTTATTCATTGTCTGGCTTGTTAGCTCTAACTTCGTGTCACTCTTTGTTATTTTATTTCTGTGGTCATTTTAGAATTTATACTATGTACCTGTGTGTGTGTGTGTGTGTGTGTGTGTGTGTGTGTGTGTGTGTGTGTGTGTGTGCGTGTGCGCGTGTGTGCGTGTGTGCAGGCATATGTACACACGTACATGTGTGTACACACACACACATACACACACACTCACATCCATGCATGTCTAAGACGTCATGGATGAGTGTCCACCTCGGTTCACCTTCAAGTGATTTAAAACTTGTGAACAAACTTGACGGAGTTCCACCACCAGCGCCCCACTGCCCGCTGCCACTGTCAAACATGGCGTGGCTTATAGAAGATGGACTCTCTCTGCACGCTGCTGCGTGATGCTGTCTTTATTTCCCCCGGAGTTCAGAACTCTAGGCCGACAGCCTAGGGCCCTAGGGGTGTTCTGTGTCTCCTCGCTTTTGTCATTCCCCAGGAGGAATCCGTGTCTGCTTCTCTGTAACACATCTTCATTCTGTTGGCCTCGAGATTTTTCTCTTTATCACGAATCTCGAACAGTTTGATTAGGGGGTGTCATTTTCTTCCTGCTTCTTATGCCTCAGGTCTGCGGAGGGTTTTGTGTATTTGTGGGTTTTCAGGTTTCATCACATTTGAAAAATGTTTCCCATACCCTCGTCTGGGGATCGGATTACCCGTGTGTGATGCCGCCTAAAGTTGTCCCTCGGGCCGCTGGTGTTTTCTCTCTCTCCAGTTTTCTTTGTGCGGCTCCCTCTCAGCTTCCACCGCTCTCTTCATACACACACCCTTTTCCTCTTCAGACTCTTCTGCTGATCAGCCTGTCACGTGCCTTTTTAATGGTGTAAATGTAAATTCTTTCCCGGTTAGCTTTTGTGTGATTTCTGTATCGCTTTGCAGTTTCCATGGGAATTATACAGAACATCCTGAGGTGGTTTATACCAGGCTCGCCTCACGCAGTAGCACGCTCGTGAGCACTCCGCTCCCTGTCCTGCCCTCGGTTGTTGGTGCCTCGGAATTATGTCTTTATGTGCTTGAAGCCGGTTTTCACTAACAGTTTGTAAATGTGTTAGTCTCTAGCTACGCGAAAACAAAACATGGGATCACGAGCCACGGTTCCCGTAACGCTGCTTTTAGACTAATAATGGCTTTTAAAATACACGTCTGTTCCTCGTACAGGAAACAAAGTGGGGCCGTAAATCTGCTGCAGCCACAGAAACTTTTGAATTTGAAGGGATCTTTTTTTCCCTCTGAGGGCCCTGTGATGTGATGTTCCAGGTTCTTGGAGGCTCTGTTTTACACTGTGTAAGGCAGGACTACCCACACATCAGGTGAAGGCCAGCCCAGTGTGCCACAGTCTCCACTACCCCTCAGAACATCAGGGCCACACCTTGTGGCTGTCCACACAGCAGCATGACCTACACACAGCAGAGTGAACTTCCTTATATGGAGGTGGCCTTCCTTACAGCAGGGAGACCCTTGTCACATGGAAACAATATTCCTCAGAGTGGGGTAACCTTCCTCACAGCAGAATGACCTTCTTCACAATGTGTGGCCTTCCTCATATGGAGGTCATATGGAGGTAGCTTGTCTCACAGTGGGGTATCCTTCATCCAGCTTCATGGCTTCATCCGGCCATGAGAATCCCTTGCCTGTGTTCTTTTGGTGAAGACAAGTCCAGTGGCCAGCTGGGGCTTGAGGAAAGAGGACACAGACTCTCTTCTCAGATGGTCAGTTGGGTGCACATCTGCTGGTAGATATCCTCTGTGGTAATCTGTACCACAGAGAAAGCCACATGGCCTCCTGTGGCTCACAGTGCTTTGGTCATCCCAGTGGTCATCCTTACGTGAGTGCCTTTACTGCTCGCATTTCCTTCTCCTTCACCCCCAGTCACCCTGGGGTGTGGGAAGCAGCCGGCAGCCAGTGCTCAGCACGGTAAGGACGCCCATGGCACAGCTTCCAGACCTTCCACCCCTGCCCAGAGGTGCCCACCATGTTGGGTCTCGGTCTCCAAGAGCCAATCACCGTGATCCGTAGGCTGCTGGTCTGCTCTGCTTCTAGAACATGGTGGCCTTGTTTGTGCTGAGGCCCTCCCCAGCAGTGTGAGTCATTTCATGGAAGAGCTTGGCACCGTCGCCGCCACATTCCCCAGTGGTAAGCAGTATTCAGGTGTAAGAGAGGCCGCATACCCATAACAACCTAGCCTGTGAGGTTTGGGCCTGCCGAAGGCACACACGCACCACCTTCCTGAGAGCTCCAGGTGGGGCCAGTACACAGACGGCCAGGGGCTGGCCAGTAGTGAGGGCTGTGGCAGGCAAAGTCTCAGTGATCAAGTCAACATGTGGCACTTGAGAGGTGTAAGAAATTTGTCCTCCAGATGGCAATAAGGTCTTTCCTTCGCAGTCGCCCCCAAGCCTGTGACCTTCTGTCCCCAGGGGAGGAGGCAGACTGTTCTGTTCTCTGGACATTCTCAGCAGGGACCAGAGCAAGAACACCACAGACCTGTGTCTCCCTAAGATGTGCCCCCTCGGATCCCCAGCTAGGCACCGTCACCCCCTGGGCCTCCCGGTGTTTTTCTCACTTAAGATGGCCTCTTTGTAGAGCACATGTGTAAACCGGCCTAAGGTCTGGACTACGCCGTGCCCATGGAAACCCTTCATCACTGCTGTCTAATGAGCCATCGTGCTGGGCCTCCGGCGGGCTGCGGTGTCAGCGGCTCTCTGTGCTCTCTCTGCTTTATGGGGTGCAATGTTGCCACACCCACCACAGTCACACTTACCCACTCCCAGCTTTCGTGCACACAGAAATGAGCCTTGTCCCCGGCATGGTGAGCAGAGAGGCTGCAGCCCTCCCCTGTGGTGCGGCATTCAGGAAAGAGTGGCCCACCTTATCAGGAAGGCAGCAGCGTTCATTGCTCGCTCGCTAATCTGCCTTCTGCGTCAATACTCTCATTTTATTCTGGTGTAGGAAACCACAAGGACTGCGGTAGGGGGTTTCTTCCTGTAGAAGAAGGGGGCTTCTTCCTGTAGAACCCAATTCCTAGTTCCCTAGCAACTGCCTCACGGAGTTTGTGTCAACCCCTGGCTGAGCTGAGGTCACTGCCCGAGTCTCGGTGTTTCACTCTTTGTAGTACATCGTCGTGCAAGCCGATGGACACTGTGCGAATCTGAAACACAAGTGACTTTGTGGGCACTGTGACTTACCGACCTGAGGTGGGCTCTTCGCCAGTCCTGGACTCGTGTGCCAGTGTGCATGCGGCCATGTCCACCCTCCCCCAGTCTCCTGATTTCCTACCCTTGCTGGAACATCTGGGAGTTTCAAGGGCCAGAGGCTGTGACAGTCCAGTGCTAGGCGAAGTCCGCACTGCTCCATCCTTAGATTCTGCAAACGGTGCCTCCAAGTCCAAGGGATGTGGAGGTTGACACCCATTCCCAGAATCTGCCCATCAGGGAACAGTGACAGGAGCTACAGCAGCCCAGGGTGGGGGCAGCAAGCCAAGTGAGTCTTGTCTTCTGGTCCTGTTGGAGTGATGAATCTGGGAGAGAGTAAAGGGTCTCCAGCTGAAGAGAAGGGTGGATCTGGCAGACAGAGATCTTGCAGTGACCTCTGTCTCCTGGCACAGGGCTACGGGGCCACTTTGCTTAGACCAGTTGCTTATTCTGTTGGCAAACCATTAAAAGAGGGGAGGTGATGCCCTCCCGCCCCACAGAGCTGGGTTGAGGGTGGCCTGAAGCATCCTTAAATGAAAAGCTTGGCTTCTGTCCTGTCCTACTAAGCTGTTTATTTTTCTTGTGATCACATGGATGGTTCAAGTAGCAGGGGCCCTGCGTGGGGTGGAGCAGGGCCCATGTAGGAGCCGGGGGCTTGGGGAGAGGTGTCCTTCTGGCAGGGGCTCCACACCTATGAAGATGGGGTGGTGAGTTGACAAGTAGGTTCCTTAAGTGCCCCCATGGCCAAGGTAAACTCCCAAGGGGACTGTGCCTAGGAAGAGGCGAAGTACCAAGCTCTGTCCTCTGAGTATCACTTCAGCCCCTTCTCCACCTCCCTTTACTTCCTGCTCCTGTTTGTTCAGGGCCACTGCTACTGTGACCCTTATCCCGACTCCAGTTCCCTATGTGCAAGCCCATTTCCTGTGTAACAAGCCACCGTGGATCTGCAGGAGCCCCTGAGAGGGCAAAAGGACCCCGGGGCCCATGGAGCCTGGCAGGGGGTGGGAGACTTGAGGTGGACTGTGAGTACCGGTGGCAGGCTATTGGCAACTCAGTGAGCCATGAGCCCCAGGCAGCTGCCACCCACAGTTCCTCTGGTGCCTGGGGGCAGCAGGCTGGTTCTTGAATCTTCGATACTTCATCTGTTCACAAGTGTTTAAAGATGTCTCTTTCAACTGGAGTTTACACTTTTGCCTATAGATAGTGAGGGTTTAAAACAGTACAACAAAAAAAAACCTTGCTTTTGCTTCAAAAATAGCCTGCCCACAGAAGTCCTCCAGCCCCCGGGGGCGGGGCCAGTTGCACATGCACAGGGCTGGAGAACAGATGGTTTCTTCATAGCCAGGGCAGTACCACCCTGCCCAGCCAATGTTGGTAATTCAGAAGCCCCTTTCTGTCCCCACAGACTCAGCCAGTGCCCAACCCGATGGCCTACTACCTGCACAGGTCACCCTGGTGGTTCCATCACTTTGAGACACTCAGCAACCACTTCCTAGAACTCCTCGTACCTTTCTTCCTGTTCCTCGGGCGCCGGATGTGCATTCTTCACGGGGTGCTGCAGATCCTTTTCCAGGTAGGCTGTGCCAAGGTGCCACCACTTGGGGTCCCCATGTGTCTACAGAAGACAAGAGTCTGCTTTCTTTCTGTGTTCACACCAGGGCCGTGGGGAGAGGTCTCACCAGCTCCATCTCATCCCCTGCAGGGGCCCCACCCCATCTGATCCAGGCTGGATTCCCGGGTCCCCTTCCCAGCTTCCATGAGCCTGTCTGTGGTGGTGTCTGGTTACCCTCAGAAAGCTGCCTGCGGGCGGGCAGCAACACAGACCTTGCTCAGGCACACCTTAGCCCCACATAGACACTCCCTCTGTTCTTGAATCCAACCCTAAAATGTTAAGTGTCTTTCTATATGTCGACATCAGTCTACCAGGAATTGGGGCAAGTTGTTTAAGACAGGGTCTTGCCATGTAGCCCTGACTGGCCTAGAACTTGTGGTCCTTCTGCCTCTACTTCCTGAGAGCTGATGTTATGGACATGGGCCTCTATGCTTCACCTTCTTTTTGCTTTTTGAATCAGGGTCTCAGTAAGTTGTCCAGGCTGCCCTTGAACTTGCTCCTCCTTCCTCAGCCTCCCCAGCCACTGGGGTGATAGGCCTGCACCACCAGGCCGGGCTCACCTTGTGGTTTTGCTTTTCCATTTTCAGTCATGAATGGATGTTGACCGCAGCTGACATTTTCCCCCATCAGTCAGGAGAGGTCGCAGGGTTTTTCCCTTCAATATGTTAATGAAGTGAATTACATTACTGCTGCTCCGGTTGAGCTAGTTTCATATTCTAGAATAAACTCAGCTTGGTCATGCTGGAGATATTTTAATATATTGCTGGGGCTCATTTGCCAATGTTTTGTTTTGGATTTTGCATGGTTGTCAGTGAGAGAGACCTGTCTGTAGTTTTCCAGCATAGTGTGGGCCTAGTGTGGATTCCCTGTCTGGATTCATTGCCCCACACTCAAAAGACTATCCCCTCTCTCTCTGAAGGTCCATGGAGACCCAGGCAGCCTGTTCTCAAGAGCCTGGGCAATGATGGGTGTGCGTCTGAGCAAAGCTTTGAGAGTTCTGCCATGGCCCAGCCTGCGGCTGTGGGACATCCTTCTCAAGGCAGCTTTGGCGGTCAGCATTTTCCTGGGAATAAACATGTCAGTTTCACCCGTTTTCAAACTTATTAACGCAACGGGGAGAGGGGACATCACTCTCAGTGCAAAGTTTGGATCCGTGAGCCTGTCTCTCTCCGTGTCCTCTCTCTCTGTGCAAGGCTGTGTTTAAATCAGGACTGTGAGCAGATGTTGGCCACAGTGACCTTTGGCTGCTAAATCATCTCTGGCTCCTACCTGTCCACCAGCTCTCAGTGCTCCGATATGTTGGCTCCTTTTTGTTTTGTATTTTAATCGGGATACTCTAGAAGCTATGCAGAGATTAGAGAGGATTCCTTTGTGCCCCACGTCCCCACTATGAGCACTTCACACTGATGGGGTGCAAGGTGATGGTGCAGTGGTGACCCGTGACTCACCAAGGTCCACAGAGCATTCTCTGGGTTTGGACAGTGGAGAATGTTTATGCACCATCCCTGCCATACAGACATCTTCCTACCCTGGGAGTCCTGGGAGCGCTGCTTTCTCTTCCTTGACCCCTGGCCCTCAGTCTTTCCCAAGCATCTTGGAGTTGGAACCACAGTGTGTGACCTCTCTAGCCAGCCTCTCTCAGGCATGGGTTTGAGATTCCCCCCTATAGCTTAACTCCTCCTGTCTTCTCCGAGCGGATATTTACATGGAGTGCCTGTCCCCACACATCTTCTGGAGGCCACAGACAGTGCCAGTCTTGAGATGACAAAAAGATGTGCCCTGCTGGCCCCTAGACCAAGACCTCGCCCTGCCTGAGAAACAGGACCGTCGAGCTGCATGGACTAGACATTGAGGAAGAGCCATAGCCTCGGGTGTGTCTCCATTTCTTGTTTTGGCCCATGTGTAAGGTTGGGTAGAGGGTAGGGATGCTCCTGGGCCTGTATGGCCTAGTAAGGAAGTTGGTGCGTAGGCTGGGCCTTCCAAAATACTACCCAGAACCTCAGGGAGGGCCAAGGCAGGTACTTGTTCCACACTGGGCACTGGGGAATTTTTGCAGAGCCCCGGGCTGCCATGATGCTAGGAAAAGCTGTCTGCAGTGCCTCAGCTGCACAGGTAGGTACCAGAGACAGGTACCACGAGTCCTCATCTGGGCATAGCAGATGCCTTGGGATCTGGGGTCTCCTGGGGTTCAGGAGTCTCCTCTTCCTGTGTAGAAGGAGCTGTAAAGCAAGCTTCTCCCAACAACCCCTATGTGGGACACCCTGGAAAATGAAGAAGCCTATAGCACACCCTTCAGGAGTCCCAGCAGCCTTGAGCTACTGTTAACTCCTTGTAGTCCTTGCAGAGGCAGCAAGGCATCCCCAGTGTTTGCTGTCAGTAGGGGATCCCTGGCTAGCAGTTCCTACCTGATTCTCATGGTGAAGAACATGGAACTGGCCACACCATGTCCAGAAGAAAATGGAGACATCCAGGGCTATGGCTTTTCCCCAGGACTGGTCCCCAAGATCCCCAAGATCTAGCCGAGACTCTTCCTGCCTACCAGGCAGAGTTAAGTATAGGATCAGGGTCAGCAGGCATAGCCTTTACCATCCCAAGAGCCCCTGTGACTATGAGCTCTTTACCATGCAGTGCTGTGGCCAACACACAGCACCCGTCACTCTGTGGCATCTGAGTGCAGCCTGGTGTGGAGCTGCACTGTGTCCTGACCCAGTGGTTCCTGTGTTCCTTCCTGTGGGCCAGAGTTTGAGTTCACTCACTTCCTCCCACACTCGGTTTACACAGCTGCTCCTAGGATCCCCGCAAGGCCACAGGATCCACGTGGGAAGGGCCGAAGAGCTCTGAGGGGATGACCCCGGAAGGGGCGGTATGGTCAGCCTCCGCTGCTGAGCTAGGTCAGGACATCCAAGGCCCACCATGGTATCAGTCACCACCAAGGAACAAGGAGGAGGTGGGGTTGGACCTGAGACTCAGCAAAGAGAAGGCAAGAGAGGGTCTTGGGAGAGGCAGCTTTGAGGTTGATTCCTCTGTTAGGGCCACGTGGGGCTACCCAGATGGCTTGGGAGCATGCACATGTGAAGGTCCCTGTGACCACATACATGTCCTCTGAAGCGCCTGTCTCCCCTGTGGGAAGCCTGCAAGCATGTGTCCTCTGTGGTAACTGTAAGCCCAGCAGGGACATCCAGAAATCCCCCCCCTCTTCCTTTTGGGGTCATGTTGCATCTGCCTGGAACATCTGCTGTAGCCTCTCTGGGGCTGAATTCCACCAACACACGTTCATCTTCCTCTGCCGTCCCGAGCCTCGCCCGCTGCACAGCACAGGGCCATGCTCCAAGCCGGTCATCTGCAGAGCACACTGAGAGTTCGTTGAGGACTCTACTGGCCAGGGGTAAACACAGATGGGCTGTGACGAGATTCATTTCCCTCAGAGGGGATGGCTGCAGTGATGTTAGAAGGAAAACAAGAAAGATAAGATCCCTTTGGAGCACTTGGACCATGTGCTGCCTGATGAATTCCAGTCTTCCTGAACAAGCTGGCTGCTCGGGAAGGGGATTCTGAACTGTGTGGGCCAAGCTGGCCTGACCCCCGAGCACAGCAACCGTCTGTCCACCTGGATGAAGTGTCACAGGCTCTCCACAGTGCTTTGTTAGAAACAGGATTTCATCTGGGGACAGTTAACCTGTGTCATCACCTTGGCTGGATTTAGAATCCTCTCTAGGGGACATGCCATTAGGCGTGTCTGTGAGGGTGTTTCAGAGAGGATGATTGAGGAGGGAAGACCCACCGCTCCGAACATGGGTCCTACCATCCCACAGACTGGGGCCCCAGACTGAATGAAATAGGAAGAGGGAGAAAAGAAAGCTGAGCACCCACATTCATCTCTCAGCTTCCTGGCTGCAGGTGTAATGTGACCGGCCACCTCAAGTTCCCACTGCCATGCTTTCCCTCCATGATGGACTGTGTGCCCTCAAACCGTGAGACAAACCCTTCCTTCCTTCCTTCCTTCCTTCCTTCCTTCCTTCCTTCCTTCCTTCCTTCTTTCGCTTTTGTAGGCTTTTCAAAAACAAGTAAATACAAAGTGGGCTCTATGGGGCTTGGTTCTCCGGGATTTCCCACTGAGTGGAGGGAGTTTTGAAAATAGGTTCGTGCCAGCAGCCTCCAACAAGGCCATGAGCTCTAGGGTGGGTCTGTGTCATTCAGAGCTCCCGGGTGAATGACCATGACTGTCAGGCAGCTGAGGTGGTCTCATGTAATGCGGGGTTCTAGATCATCAGCAGTACAGCTGAGTCTGCCCATGGGAACACTGACCCCTGGCTCATGGCCACAGGACATCACCCCAGCCTCACTGGAGCAGGGGCAGACAACAGGTGGACATGTCATCTCTGCAGAGTGGTCAGCCATACCCTCACCTCAAGGCTTTGAGTTGCAACCTCCCTGCTCGGGAGCTAGAAATGATTTGAATTGTCTGAGGAGGTGACTAGTGAGGATTCAAAGTCACCATCTGTCATGTGAGCCAGCTGTTCCTCCAAGAAGGTACTTAACTAGAGCTTTCAAGGCAACATGTTCCAAAACTACAGCCCAAAGGGATGCCCTGAGATCTCTGCAGTAGCTGGGTGCTGCCTGAGGCCCTTCCTCCAGCAGCATTGAGCAGTATCTCGGGACTCACTGAGAGCCCCAACAGTACTTTCTATGCCTTGCTTTCCATAGAAATAACCATGATTGAGGAAAGAAGGAATAAAGGCCTGCCCCTGCCCCTGAAAGCTAAGAGGAGAGGTTCTTGGCACAGGAGTGTAAGTACTTGGCACAGGAGTCAGTACAGTTCACACATTCCCACCATCTAATTTGGTCCCTAGAGGAGAAACCCACAGGCCACACAGATTAGAGGGGAGTGGCAGCCCAGCCTGTTGCACCATGGGAAGTCTTGGGATCTGCCACCTGCAAGTTGGGAACCCAAGAAGGCTGGT